TTGGTACCAGAGAGTGGGATATTGCTGTGACAGACCTGACCTTGGTGTTTACTGTGGAAGTATTTGGAATTTTAGGCTGGAAAAGCCATTGCGTGCTCAGAGTTTGTTGCTGTGGAGCTTGGAACAGTTATGCTGGAAGAATTGTAGACCATGGAGGCCTGGCTTGTGAAGCTTCAAAGGGAAGCGGAGACTATCAGGGCTGTTTGTGTGAGATTTTGGATTGAGAATCTGTGGGTTCTGGTTGACTGGGGCTGAAGAATCATCTGTGATTAAGAAGAGACTAGAACCTGAAGCAAAACCTTTGCTTTACTGGGACAATTGATGCTGGTTAGCTGGGTCTGAAAAATCAGTTGTAAGTAACAAGAGACCAACATCACTTTGGTGGAGTCTTCTGGGAGGTATTTCCTCAGGGTCAGCACACAGAGGGGATGCAGACCTCTATTTCAAGCTGGAAGCAGGACTTGGTAATGCGTAAGAGTCTCCTGCATGGTTCTGGTGTTGAAACACAGCTTCAAGCTTCAGTTGCAGTGAAGACCCCAGGATTGAAGGGGTCATGGAGAGAATCTGAAGCATTGCACCCAGAGAGGCAAGAAGAAGCCATTGGTGAAGGTGTAGCCTCAGTTTCAGTGGAGACCCCAGCTTTTTGGAGATGCTAGGATTGTGGGAAGACCACCAAGGACAACAGTAAGTGTGGAATGGAGCTGGCCTGGGTCTGCAAGATGAGCTGAGGAAGACCCCAGGATTGAAGGGGTCATGGAGAGAATCTGAAGCATTGCACCCAGAGAGGCAAGAAGAAGCCATTGGTGAAGGTGTAGCCTCAGTTTCAGTGGAGACCCCAGCTTTTTGGAGATGCTAGGATTGTGGGACGACCACCAAGGACAACAGTAAGTGTGGAATGGAGCTGGCCTGGGTCTGCAAGATGAGCTGAGTGTGCTATGGACTGCAGAGTCAGAGCAGTGGAGCTGCCAGTACCCTTTGGAGCCCAGAAGATCGTGAGTGAATCCCAGATGTCCAGCCTCGAGCTACTTTGCTGGACTTTGGTTTTGTTTAGGTGTGCCTGATTTTTCCCTTTGAAATAAGATAGTACTTGTTTGGGATTTTACAGAAGCCCACAGTTAAAAGACTTTTAAAAGAGACTATGAACTTTTAAGTGTTTGGAGTTCTTAAGGACTGTAGGGTTTTTAAGATTGTACTGTCTTATGTTGTGATATTAACATATCTTGGGGACAGAAATTGGAAAGTTATGGCTTAATAGTGATGTTTGTGTGGCAAGTTGACAAGGGGTCAATTGTGCTGAATAGCTTTAGTGTCAACTTGACACACCTGGGTTGAGGGAGCCTCAATCAGGGAATTACCTCTATTGGACTGGCCTGTGGCCATGTCTGAGGGGCATCTTCTTGATGAGTGATGTGGGAGGGCCCAGCCCACTGTGGGTGGTGCCACCCCTGGGCAGGTGGGCCTATGTTGCATAAGAAAGTAGGCTGAGCAGGGGCCAAGGGAGCAAGCCAGTAAGCAACATTCCTCCATGGCCTGTTTTCCAGTTCCTGCTTCCAGGTTCCTGCCCTGAGTTCCTACCTTGGGCTCTCAGATGAACTGTGACTTGGGAGATGTAAGCTGAATAAACCCTTACCTCCCCAAGTTGGTATTGGTTAGAGTATTTTGTCACAGCAATGAAGAACAAACTAGGACAGAAACTTTATTTATTTATTTTTTTTAATTTTTATTTTTTATATTTTTAAACTTTTAAAAATATTTTATTTATTATTTTTATTTTATGTGTATGCATGTATTGCCTGAATGTAGGTAAGTGTGCCCTTGTTGCGCAATGCCCACGGAGGTCAGAAGAGGCCATTGGATCCCCTGGAACTGGAGTTATGGACAGTTGTTAGCTGCCATATGGGTGCTGGGATTTGAACCCAAACCCTCTGCTAGAACAACCAGTGTTCTTAACTGCTGAGCCATGTCTTCAGCCCCTATTTTTAATTTTTATCAGTGGACATTTTGGCTCCCTGGGCTCTGCTCCACGCAGGAATGGCTATAGAAAGGTAGAAGGAGAAAGGGTAGCTATCTGTTGATCCCTTAGCCCTCTTAGTTTGTTTATTTCATCTTTTATTTTAGAAATAACTATGGGAAAGTATCAGTTCCAGCCCCAAAGTGAAGGTACAGTTGTATTAGTTATCTATCGCTGTATAACAAATTGCTACAAAGTTTAGCAGCTCACAGCAGCAACACATATATATTTATTCTGTGTTTGGGAATCCATGTGCTTGAGGACCCTGTGAGGCTGCACTGTCGTCAATCTTGCCTGCAAATACACCTAAAAGATCCATTGAGGTTAGGTCTTCCCAAGATCACCCAAGTAGCAGTTGGCAGGGCTTGGTCCTCTCTGTAGGGTTGCCTCTTTCCAAGTCTGCAGATATCCACCATGACAGAGAGAATGAGAAGAAGCACCTGCCTGAGATGGCAGCCATGGTCTTTTTAATGTCCTAGTCTTAGAAATGACATCCCACCACTTCTTCAGTATTCCAGCCATAAAGAGTGAGTCACTACATGAATAAAACATGGTGTATAAACTGAATGTGCATGTTTAATTTTACATTTCAAAAGCTATTAAATAAATTAGAACTAATGTGATCATTTTAGATGATTAATAACATAGTTGCTTGATTCAAAAAAAGAAATGAGAGACTAGGTACAACCCACACTCAGGGTAGGAGACCAAACCAGGGCAGGAGCACAGGAGGCAGGGGTCATGGGGCTGCCTTTGAAGCTGCCAGTCCTTTTGCCTTAAAACAACTTGTAGCTTTCAGCTCTACCATTAGTATGACCTGAAAAAAATCAGACTCAATTATGAAAACAAAGAAATGTGACATGGAAGATTTTTCTTTCCTCCTCAACTATAAGACATTTTTTCTGGGTATAGTATTCTGGGCTGACATCTATTATCATGTAGAACTGGAAATACCTTGGTCCAGGCTCTTCTGGCTTTCATAGTTTGCATTGATAAGTCAGCTGTAATTCTGATGGGCTTTCCCTTGTATGTGACCTGTGTGTTTTTCTTTGCTGCTTTCAGTATTCTCTCTTTGTTCTGTATATTTAGTGTTTTTACTATGATATGTCATGGGGAGTTTCTTTTCTGATCTTGTCTATTTGGTGTTCTATGTGCTTCCTGTATTTGTATGGGGATGTCTTTCCTTAATTCGGGAAATTCTCTTCTACAATCCTGTTTAAGATCTGGTCAACACCATTTACCTGAAGTTCTTCTCCTTCGTCTATTCCTGTAATCTGTAGATTTGGTCTTTTCATGGTGTCCCACATCTCTTGCATATTCCATTCCTGTGTTTTTTGAAATTTTTCATACTCTTTGCTTGAGTGGTCCAATTCTTCACCTTTATCCTCCAGTGTTGATATTCTGTTTTCCATTTCATTCATTCTAGAGGTGAGGCTTTCCCCTGTTGTTTCAAGTTGTCTTATTGAGTTTTGTACTTCCTTCTTCATTTCTGCCTGAGTTTTCTTCAAGGTTTCTATCTCTTTTGTGAATCCATTCAGAAGTTTATCTCCCTATCTTCTTTTAGCTCTTTGATTTGTTTGTTCGTGTGTTGTTTACATTTATTGAATTCCTTGATCATGTTTATGA